GATCCGGAGGTGCTCAGAAAAATCAAGGCTGCCCGCTCCAAAGACGCGCGGCGCCTGAATGCGTGCAGAGACAAGAGGGTCCAGTTCTCCCCAGAGAGGCGACGCGAGTCTTCCGGCAGCCTTCCAGACCCAGGCTTCCCGCCGGGGTGGCGCAGCTCCCGGGCTCCCTCCCGGAGCAGCGCGCTGGGCTCTCCTCCGGTCGCCCTCAGTCTGCTTCGCAGGCTGCCCGCAAGCAGAAGCGCGCCCAGCTCCTGGGGGACAGAGAGGGCGAGCGGGCGAGCGACCAGAAGGCAGCAGCCGGCGAGCGCCCGGCGCTCCAGCAGCAGCTCTCTGAGCCGAGAGAGGCGGCGAGGGCCGTCAGCGCCTGCGTGCAGCAGCCCCCTCCCTTGCGCGGCCCCTGCGCAGTTCGCACGGCGATTAAGCCTCGACAGACGCCCGTGGCTGCGCTCAGAGGCTTGGTCGGGCTGCAGGCGCTCGCTCGCTCCGCGCTCCACAGGCAGCCGCCTTCCAGCGCTCCATTTGAATAAAGGTGGTACTCGAAGCCCCCTGGCCTCCGGCGGGCTCGGGAAAAGATGCGTTCGGCCAGGCGCGCGAGACTCTTCCGTTCAAAAACGGGGAGAAAAAAGGAGAAAATGGGTAAAAGAACACGCGAAAAGCGGTGCTTAATGGCTCTGATGTTGTCTTCCAGCGTGGGGTGCTCGTGGCGCTGCTTTGCTCTTCCCTGAAAAGCTGCTGCTGCTGCCCGTCCCGCAAGAACGTGGGACGGTTTTCCGCGCTCCGCGGGGCGCCCACTTTCTGTCCTTGATCCGCTCCGGCCAGCGAAAGCCCGGCTGCCGCCCACCCGAGCCGCTCTCGGACGGGCAGCCGTGGGCAGCAGGTGGGAAAAGGATGCGGCCGCTTCCCCGCTCGCCCTGTGCCGGAGCCGCGCGAGGCGGCAGCTGGGCAGAACGTGGGCAGGTTCTCGGTCCTCCCGGATGGGCAAACGAACAGGCAGCCCACGGACCCCCTTCCTATTTTATTTTATTTTATTTTATTTTATTTTATTTTGCAGAAGAACTGATGCACCTGAAGCGGCAGCTGAAGGAGCAGCGGTAAGTAAGGCGCTTTTTTTTCCCGGGCTGGCTTCACTAGAAAGTTCACGGGCATCTGGAGGGGCTGCAAGGGCTCCAGGTGGCTTCTGAAAATTCCCCGAAGAAAGAGCATCAATTCTGCCTTATAGTCCAGTGCAGTTTGCTGTCGGGGTGCGGGGGGATCGTTCTGTTCATAGCATTTATTCCTTTGCTCTCTTCTTATTCTCAACCTTAGTCCAAAAAAACCTCCAATCTAAAACGGCACAGGAAGAAAAGTTGGGAAGGGGAGAGATGGCAGAGGGGACCATCCTCCTCTGGGCAGCTCCCCCTCCATAGTCAACTGAATGGCAGGCAGGTCTGGCTATTTAACATCGGCGGATTCATCCTCTATCTCCCAAAATGTTGTCCCAGCCAAACCAGTATAGGCTGGGTTGGGCTCCCTGTCCCACAGCCATGATGGCTCCTCTCCGAGGTGCTGCAAGGAGGGCAGCAGGCAATGGATCCTAGATGTATGTGCCTGTTTCCTTTTCATCAAAAAACAAAAGGGAAACACCAAATCACAGAGAGAATGCACGGAAATACTGCTTCTCAAAGGTGTCCCTGCTGGACCAAGGCATCTGTGTTGCTGAAGCCGGAGGAAAAAATCTCCACCTTTAAAATGACCAGCGAAAAGAGACGTACACAAAGATTTGAATGCATGGCAGCTCTCAAATGTGCAAGGGGTAAAAATGCCCTTTCCAATGCTTTGAAAAGGACAAATAGTTGTATAAAAATGTCTGTAAACCTACGTTTATTTAAATGGATACCATTGTCCCAAATTCTAGAAGTACCAGTTTTTTTCATGGTACAAGAGCATGACCTGCCACCTGCAAATGCTCTCCTAATCTCTTTCCAAACTTACAAGTGCCAGGAAGAAAAGAGAGTGTTGCTTAAATCAACCAGGCAGAAAATGTCACTTTCTCGCAGCAGCGAGCTGCGTCTAAGACAGGCACGGAGGATCGGAGAATCGCTTTCAGCCACAGGTTGAATCCTGGTTCGGAGGCAGTGGGATTCTAGTGGTGGAACTAGAGGCGAAAGTGCGAGGCCAAAACGCCTCCCCACCACGTAACTGTGGTCTGCTGAGCAACTGCGGGGCACATGGAAACCAGGAGAGCGCAGGGCGCCTGGCAGCTGGGAGGAAGGGACATAGCCCATGCCAGGGGTTCTGCCCACCTGTAGAGCTCCCTCCAGGTGCCTGCCGTGGCTTTAGCTGCCCAAGTGCAAGGAGATCCAAGGTTCTGCACTTGGGCTCTTGGGATTTAAGGACAGGCTGGGTTGGAGGAAAGCTCCAGCTATCCCAGCGCGCTGTTGCTTCCAGAAATTCACCCAAGTGCCCCAACCCTGGGACAATTTTCTTGGAGCAGCAGTGGCTCCATCTTTTCTGCTCTTTCCTGCCTCCATGCCTTGCACAAGGAAGTAATTCACAGACATGCACATGGTGGGCATGTTGTGAGCAGAGCCGGCTGGAGCCGGGGGTCAGACTAGATGGCTCGGGAGGCCCCTTCCGCCCTGCTCTGTTTCTATGTTCAGTGGAAGGGATGAAATCATTCCACTGCGACAGGTGCTTCTGCTTCTCTCGTCTTCCCCAGAGAGAAATGCCACAAGCCGAAGGGAAAGAACAAGCAGCAGATGCTGAGAGATTCCAACGGGAGTCCCCTCCTTGAACCCATAACGGCTCTGCTCTCAATCCTCTTCGGAGGCATCATGACGCTGTTCATCTTTTAGTCTGTCTAGATTCTAGTGCCATCTGAACAGACCAGCTTCGCTTTCCTGCTTCCTGCACAAAACCACCCTTCTTCTGGATAGCAGTTGGTAAAAGCACGGAGCCCAGCCCGGCCCTCCTGCACGGGGGCAGCAATGCAGTCTGTGTGAACCCCTTTCTGTCCATGCTTTGCTGTTTGGCACGCAGCTTTTGTGATGTGGTCAGCTTATGGATGGAATTGGGGGAGGGGCGTCTGACTATTCCATCTAGCTTCAGAAAATGAGCATTGCAAAAAAGCACTTTATGTTGAAGAGCAATATTAAAAATCAATAAAATATATAAGCATGGAAAATATTTTTTCGAGTGAGAGAATTTTTTCAAGCAAAGGTCCCTCAGGAACACTTCCTCGGCCCACCCTAGCCTGGGCCTTCTGGCTCCGGGTGTGTTGCAGGGCCGGCGGAAAGGTGTAGCTGCACCATTGCGGAGGGGTTTTGTACATGGGAACAATGGGAACGAAAGAAGGCAAAAGGAGAGGGGGCCGCGGGCTGGAGGGCCCACTGGCTTGGTGGGCCTGGAGGGGGCAGACTGCAGGGGATGGCGGAGGGCAGGAGAGCCTGGGGGAATGTTGTCCCCGGGCCGCGAAGAGTCGGACACAATTTTGCAGCCGAACAACAACAAAATCGAGGAACGCAACACTTGGAAGAACCACTAGATAGCAGCAGAAGCACGTGGAACGCCAAATAGCCCTGCAGGTTCCTGGGACAAATCTGGCTGCAGCCCAGGACCCCCACGCTGGTCCCCCAGCCCCAAAGGGAAGCCCACCGGCCAGAGGGGCGCCCCACGGGACGCTCCCGTCAAACACAGTAGTCCCTTCCCCCACACATCGGGGGTGGGGGGGCCTTCCCCCCAGTTGGTTGCTGGTTGGAGAAGGAAGGAAATTATTCATGGTTTTGCAACAACCCTGCAGGCAGCCCAAAGGCAGCCGGTCTCTGCTGCTGCATGGTCAGGATCGGGGCCGCTCCAGGGCTCCTCGAGCTTGCAAAAGCCAGAAGCAAACAGCCCCCTCTGCTGCAGCTGGCGGGGCCTTCATGAGCTCCACCTGGGGCCGGAGCAAGAGCTATTTAAGAACTGCCCTTCCCCGCAGAAGCCGCTTCAGTAGTGCTTAAGCCGTGGTGTGCTCCATGTCCTCTCCAGCACTACTCCCAAGGTATGACTGACCTGCACCTCCTGGCTCCTGAACTCCGGCTTGTTTGAGCTACGCTTTGCTGGCTGGACTTCACCTCCTTCCCGGGTTGCTCTTCTCTGGCTTGCTGGTGGTTGGGTTTGGCCTCACTGACTGTGTTGCCTATGTGGTAGAGCAGCCTCCGGTTAGCTTTCTGCCCCCACACTGCAGACCTTATGGGGGAGGAAGGGGCTCAGGGGTGCCCGCTTTGTATGGGCTTCAAGTCACAAATCTCTGTTTCAAAGCAACCCTCAGGATGGGGGGGGGGGGGTCCTTTCAGCCCAAGAGCTGAATTTTGCTTCAGAGAGACATGGGGGGAATGCAACCTGTTCGTTTGGGCAGACAAAGGGTGGGGTGCAAAGGCGCCCCCTTTTTTGGTCTATGGCGCTCACTGCCAAAACAGTTTTTAAACTGTGAACGGTTGCTTTTAAATGCTCCCCTTCACCTGCGTTCGAGTAAAGCAGCATTGGACACAAAGGCTGGGGCTGGTGGAAATTTCTATTCCAATGGACCTTAGAGCACAAGGAAAGCAGTGTCAGAGTTCCTTCTAGAGCAACTCGGCGTTCAGTCCACACACAGAAAAGAATGTTTGGGCTGCAAGAACAACGACGACGCTCCGACGGGGTGTAAGGCCACTTTGGCCAAAATAAACATCCAGCTGCAAAGAGAGTTTTTTCCCCGCTCCCCTTTCTCTCTCTCTGTTTGCTTTTTCCTTAGCGAGGAAATGAGGGAGCTGGTTGACCAGCTGCTGCTGCTAATTGGTTTCACGACCTTGATTGGGGAGGGAGCGGACTGCATTCCAGCGCAGGGGAAGAAGTGCGAAGTTCGGCTGCACTTGACCCGCAGATTACAGCGGAGGAGCCGCCCGCGCCCTCCGCGGGGCAGTGGTGTCCAAGGGGCCTGCTCGCGGCTCCTCCTCCAGTCCTCACCCCCTCCTCCCCGCTCTCCGGAGCTCTCCGTCCAAAGCAGCCTGTTCCCGAAGAGCACGGGGGCAAAGCCAGGGCGTTCTCGGGCCGGGGCGCCTCCCGGGGAGGCTTCTGTCCCGCTCATGCAAGGAATTCCGCGGCGAGGGCCCGACCCTCCCCTGCCTTTCCATGCCGAAGGCTGCTGTTTCCTCCTCCTCCCCACAGAAAATGTATTATGGGCGGAAGGACAGAACAGCCGCGCAGTGCCTCGGGCCCCTCACTCCCGCAGCGCCCAGGCCCCAGCTGATGAACGGGGGGGTCCTTCTTCTGCCCACAGGTGCGGCTCCTCCGAGAGCAACATTTGGAGATTGCCCTCCAGCCGTGGACAGGCGTGTGCCATGGACACCAATATCCCTTTCCAATGGGGAACCCGGAAGACTTGGATGGCCGTGTCAGCGGTGGAGCTGGCCATCATCTTCATCCTGGGAGCTGGGCTGGCTCACCTGATCGTGCACAGACCCCATGAGCAAGAGGACATGGAGCGCTGGCCCGAAAGCAACGTGCTTTCCTCGCTGATCTCAGTGAACCGGACCCTCCAAATCGCCACAAAATCCTGCCAGGACCAAACAGTAGGCTGGGTCTGGGTCTGCACAGGGGCAGGGAGGGGTCTTGCGGGCCTAAGCTTGCATTCTGCACACACCGTGTCGGCTTTTCAAAGCCAGTTCCTTGGAGGAAAACGCTTCCTTTTTGGCCCATGTTTAGCCTGGACAATTGCTTGTCAACTACCCAGAGAGCTTTGGCTGTTGGCAGTGTGGAAATTTAATAAATGTAGTAATAATAAAAATAATTGCACAGGTGCTTAGTGTTTTGCAGAAAGGAGGAATTTCTCCGGAAGTGTTAAGTGGGTCCCATCTGATATATACAGAGTGCAAATAGATAGAAATGTATTGAGGTAAAAGCAACACTTCAGTCAAGCTTTGTTCTAGATTCCAGATGGACAGAGTTAATTGCATGTGTGCTAAATTAGACAAACAAAAGCGGAATTGTAAAATGACAATTGTTTGTTCTCATTTTGTTTCCACCTGATGACCAGACCTCTCTGGACAGCTTCCAATAATTGGCCAACTCGCAAAGCACAAATACAAGATAGTGGAATAGTCTTTGCATTGCGCCTACCACAACGGCCTGTGTCCTGGGGTGGGGGGAAAGCTTCAGCTGTGGGTCCTTTAGTCCAATCCCAGAAGATGCAGGAAACTGCCGGCTGCGGAGTCCCTGAAGGATGCCTGTTTGTCATGGGGTCAGTGTAGTCAACCTGTGATGATTCTCACTGATTCATATTTCTGTCCCAGCATTTTTCTGACTGGACTGCACTAAGATAAATAAGGCTCTAGTCCTCACAGTTCTGAAGAAAGGGTGGTTTTAAATAGAAACTTAGAAATGTGCCTCCTCTCCATTTTATGGCACCAGAGACAGTGCTCTTATGTATTGCTTCTATTTTGTACCAAAATAATTTAATGTTTGCAATTACTGTGGTGCTCCTGTCTGATACTTCTGCCGTTTGGATTTATTGGATTTGAAGTTGTATCTTTGTGTGTAGCCCTCTTTCAGGACCATGTCCCCAAAGGTGGCCTATAAATACTTGTATAAAAATAAATCCAAAGGCAGGCTTTTCCTGGTATTGTCTACACACATACACACACACCCCAGAAAAATAAATGCTGTCTCTTATCCCTCCATAGTGAGGATTAAGATTGTGAGAGGCACTCTTAAATTTCAGAAGCCCTTCATTGTGTAAACCAAACTGTCTGTCGCTCACAAGGCTTTTAAAAACAATGGCTAATATCGCCTCTCTCCTGCCTTTAATTCCAAGCACTGCATTACAGCATGTCCCCTTTTAAAGGAAAACTCCATGCTGCAGATCAGAGATGCACAAGCACTTTGTGCATGCTCAGGGACTGCAGTATCTCACAAAGCTGGGAAATGTCTTCTGTTTCGTTTTTAACCAATGCTGCATTTCTGGCCATTTGCTGTACCTGCTGGGGCAGATGGGATTTGCAGGCTAAAGTCTTGGGAGGGCTGCACTGACGGGTGGTCCCCTTTTCCTTTCTCTGCCACAGAGAACGCTGGAAGCCAACACCACCTCCCTGAACTCCGAAGTAGCCAGACTAAATGCTCGTTTGCGCTTACATGCATTGGAGAAAGCAGCTTTGCAAGGTGAGTGCGGATTAACACCTGAACACAGTTAAATGATTTAAAATTAATGTGCTTTAACAGGCAAAGCATGGTAGGGTTTACAACCCTCAGTACTCAAGCTAAGTTTCAGGAGTCTGGGGATTGTGGGCTTGGAGCGATGGTGCCGAGACAGACTGGGGGCCTTGGAGTGAGATTTTTGCCTGAGTCAGTACACACTTATCTCCTTCCTGGGCCAACCTTAAGCATCATTCCAATGGGGTGCAAATTAATCAGGCATCTGATCTGCAAAATAAACCCTCCATGAAAGAAATTAGGAGAGTAAGTACCCGGAGGAGGGCTTTCTCTGCGGTGGCGCCCAACCTATGGAATTCACTCCCCAAAGAGGTCCGCCTGGCACCGTCGTTACTGGTTTTTCAGCGCCAGGGCAAGACCTTTTTATTTAAACATCATTTCAATTGTTAAAACATATGATCTGGCCTGGGCAACTTCTTCTTCCTTCTCTTTCTCATCCTATATTTTTATTTTACACTGATAATTTTAATTTTGTATTTGTAAATCAATGTATTTTTTTGTATTTTTATATTTAATGGTAATTTATGTACTATTGTATTTCCATGTATTTTATCATGTTGTAAGCCGCCCCGAGGTTTCGGCAAGGGGCGGCATAGAAATGTTATAATAATAATAATAATGCTGGAGGCCTGCATGCAAACTTATTTCCCAGAGAATGCAGAATTCTCTTCAAAGGAGGGAGGGTTGTCTGGCCTGGAGGAAATTTGTTTGTCTACAGAATGGAGAGGCCCCTGTTTTGAGAGCAATAACAATGTCTGTATCTTTTCCCCTCTTGGCAGATCAACTCACCATCTTGAAAAACTGGACGCAGCTGTTTCAGGATCTGAAGTAAGTCGCCCCTTAAGCCCTGCCTTCTGTTGTGGTTCTAGACAGACTGCACTCTCCAGGGCTGGAGTGCTGTTTGCTGTGCTGAAACGTTGCCTTCGTGGGGGAGCCAAACCTCCACTCCAGCTGCTGAGCCACACAAACACTGGGCGATGTTGTGCCTTTCCTGCCACTTTATTTCCCTAGACAGCTGCTCCCTCTGGCTACTGATGAACTGAGTCAGCCCCTCTCTCATTCCCCCCACCCCTTGCATTGCAGAGACCAACAGAAGACCATCATCGGGCATTTCCAGAAGGACCAGGACCTGGACCAGGACCCGAACCCGGACCACGGCCACCTGTCCGGCCATGGCCCCTTCATCTACCTCCATGCTGGCCTGGCCTCCTTGGCCCTTGCTGTGCTCCTGTGCGTGTGAAGTGAGGCAGATCGCTGTCTTTGGTCCTGGCAGAAGTGCCACTTCTTGGATGTGGGATTTCACATTTGGTGTGTTGTTTAAATGCTCACTTATTCTGAAAATAAAGCGTTGAACTGCATAATTTGGTGGCCTGATGTTTGCGGGGCACTCTGCACGGGGATTGCTTTCTTGCGGGGGTGCGGGGAGCAGATCGGGGCCGACATCAGGAGCTGGTGTGAGAAAGCACATGGGAAGGCGAAAGCCCCCAGACCCGCTCTTCCCCTTCCCCTTCCCCTTCCCCTTCCCCTTCCCCTTCCCCTTTTCCATTGCGACCTGGCTCTGCTGCTCTTTTGCACAGGCCTGGCATGCCACAAAATTGGCAGGTGTGGGGTTTAGAGGCACATACAGCGGGGGCCCTCGTCTATTTGTGGCGAGAACCAAAATTGCTAGGTGTGGCCTATGGCCTAGAAAGAGGTCTCTGCCCTCCCAGGCTCATGGCCTAAAACTGGGGAGGCACAGCATTTCCTCATGGGCGAAGGTGTCCCAGAAGGATCTGTTTCCTTTGAGTCTGTGGGGGTGTTGCAGGAGGGGTGTGCTTTGCACAAATGCGGAGACACGTATTTTGGGAAGGAGCCGTCTTAACTCTGGCAAAGCAAGCCAGCCCTAATTCTGTGCTGGTCGTCTTAAGTGTGGCCTGCCGTAAGCCACAGATTAGGGGTTTGTGTGCTCCCGGCGAAACCCACGCAGAGCAATTACCGCAGCCGGAGCAGCCAACGTGCTCTCCCGGGGCAGAAGCTTGCCGGAGAGATGGACCGCTCGGCCACCAAGACCACTCTGAAGGTGCTGGGCTCGTGCGCCGTGCTGCTGGTGGCCGCGGCAGCCGTCTCTGTCGCCGTGGTGATGTGGAGCTCGGCGCTGAGCCGCCAGCTGAAGGGCTGCCAGGAGCGGGCCCTGAACAAGACGGCAGCCCTGGCCAGCCGGGTGGCCGAGCTGGAAAGGGAGCACGCCAGGAGAGGGAGGCAGCTGGAGAAGGGGGCCCAGCGGGAAAGGGACCTGCAGAGGCAGCTGAGCCAGGCCACAGAGGGCCGGAAGAGACTCAACGGCACTCTGATGGGCTGCTTGGAGAACACGGTACGGAGGCCGGAGCTGGTGTTGGGCAAAAATGCAGGTTCTTTTTCTGGAGGCTGACTCTGGGAGAAGATAAGCCCTGTTAGATCAAGATGAGGTGGGGGATGCATGTGGTAGAGCACCCTGTCCCTCTCCATCCAGCACATTGCCAGTCACCAGGACTGAATAACCCTAAGGTAGACTGCCCCTGTGCTTGGATGCTCCATTTCACCCTCAACGTACAGCCAAAATTGCAGGATTGCTCAGTGGGAAATTATTTTTTTAAAATTTCCTCCTCCTAGGAAAACTGAACACCTCATCCAGTACAAATTTGGGAGGAGGGGGGCCTGATCTCCCAGCTTTTAGCTAAGGAGTACAGAGGCATCTTTTTGATTTGGCCTTTAAACTACAAGGTGATTATTCAAGATCGCATCCTGCTATTGCAAGGAATCTAAATCCGTTGGCCAGGTTCTCCCGGTTGTTATCCTCACAACCGCCCTGAGAGTGAGCGCAGGGACTGGGCCACAAACACCCAGTGAACCCGAGAGTGGAAAACACCCTGGACAGGACCACGATCTGCCAAGTGCCTTTCTGACACTTGAACTGAGAGGACTCTGTCCAGTCCAAGGTTGCAGCCTGTTCTTCTCTGAATCACGATGGATTTTATTGTTTATCCTGCTTCTGATATTGTCGGTGGCCATCGCCATGAGGATCACATGACGGATAGTCTTCCTCCATGCCTTTGCACCCATATCTGGTGTCTCCTGGGTGGAAGTGAGTCCCATGCCTTACCTGTTCCCACCTGAGTCCCCAACCCACCACCTTTGGGAGAACACATCTGCCTCGCCAGGTCTCTTTTGGGACCAGGGCGTTAGAGGTACTTCAGGGACTGGCAGGACTCCTATAAAGAGGGGGCTGGTATCAGGGAAGGTGGGGGGAAGGAGGAGGCTGGGGACCCAAAGAGAGGGATCTGTGGGAAGGAGCTGAGATGCACATATACCCATGGTAGGAGCATGGGAAACCAGCGGGAAGAGTTTGAAGCTCTCCTGGGAATGGGAGGGTCTGACCTGGTGGGATGAAAGGCAAGACTGGAATGTGAACCTGGAGGGGTATCACCTGTTTAGGAAGGGCAGGAAGGGGAAGAGGGGAGGGGGCGTAGCGTTATATGTCAGGGAAGGGATAGGATGCAGTTTTAGGGGTTTCGACAGGGGGAGGGACTTGACAGCAGGGGTTTGTTTTCGCTCTCCAAGTCAACTCCAGACCCTGGATGAAGCCCTGACAGGCCAGATTTGAAGGATACCTTGGGGGAAGGACACGGTAATTACGGGAGATTTCAGTCTCCCCGATATTATTCGGGAGTTTCACTCTGCGGCAACGACCAGCTCACGCCGCTTCCTAGGAGCTATAGAGGGAGGGTGTTTCATGCAGAGGGTCTGGGAGGCGAGGGGGGGGATATCCTTGAGTTGGTCCTGACCGACAGGGAGGAGCTGCTAGATGGGGTGCGGATGAGGGGCGCTCTGGATGCGAGTGATCACTCCGTCCTTCGCTTTGAGATCATGGGAACGGGACGAGCGGCATGTCGAGCGCTAGAAGCTGGGACTCCACGAGCGCCGACTGGCCAATTTGGCCACGCTGGGGAACTGCTCCTGGGAGGGGGGCTGGAAGGCAGGGGGGTCGAGGAGGGGTGGATGGCGCTGAAGGGAGGTCTTGGAGGCACAAGCCTGGAGGATACCGCTAGTTAGCAGGGCGGAGGTGAAGGAGAGCGCGGCCATGGATGTGGAAAGAGGTGGTAAGGGGGATTAGGGGAAACAAACAAAAGGGTACACGGGAAGAGGAGGCCCAGAGGAGGTTTCTTCACAAAGCTGAGGCTGATTGTGAGCTGAGATTTATGAAGAATACCAGGAGCAACAAAAAGGGCTTCTATGTAAATTCCAAGTGGCAGGGGAGACAGGAGGTGAGACCGCTTAATAAGGAGCAAGGGGATTCGGTGACGGATGTGAGGGAACAGGCACAGATGCCAAACGATCATTTTGTCTCTATGTTCTCTCCAAAGCAGGACGGGGGAGATCTACATGGGGGACTGGATGAGGCCGGGGATTTAGGGGCACAGATTAGACTCACCCCCCTAGAAGTCGAGGGGCTCCTCAGGGCACTGGACATTGCAAAGGCACCGGGCTCTGACGGGTTACATTGAGGGAGTTGGTGGGACCCTCTTGTGCCCGCTGCCTCTACTTTGCTCCTGGTTGGGAAACTGGGGGTTTGGGATAGAGGAATTCCCTGTCCGATGGATTAGATCAGGGCTGACAAACTAAAAGCAGAGGGTAGCCATTAGTGGGAAATCACTGGGATGGCGGCCAGTGACAAGCAGGGTCCCCCAGGGTCCCCCAGGGTCCCCCAGTCCAAAGTCCTTTTTAAGATCAACTCCTCAGTGCATGGCTCTTGACTCCTCCAGTGGTGAGCAAATACAATCCTCACCGCAGTAATTACATGTAAAATCAAATATATAGCCTATTTATCAAAATCATTAAGAATAATATCTAATAAAAAAGAAAAATCCTCAGGTTTAAATTTGTGTTTACATTTCCAACATCTGTCCAGCCTATCCTTAAACACCCTCACCGTTGGGGCTTCATCCACCTCCCATGGAAGCCCATTCCATGACCGCGGGGGTCTAACTGCCATCCAACATAACACAGAGGACTCTGGTACACACACAACTGGAGTACTGTGCTCAGTTCTTGGCCCCTCATTACAGGAAGGATATTGCCAGTTTGGAGTCAGTGCAGCGCAGGGCCACAAGGTTGGTGGCCGGTTTGCAGAGGATGGGGTATGAGGCGAGACTGAGGGAACTGGGCCTCTTCAGCCTGGAGGAGACTCAGGGGGGACCTGTTGGCGACATGCAGGTGTGTGAGGGGGTGTCACACGGAGGTGGGCAGAGGCCTGTTCTCCCCTGTGGAGGAAGGCAGGACGCGCTCCAACAGAGCCAAGCTAAAGGAACCAAGGTTCAATTTGGATGCCAGGAAGCACTTCCTGACAGTCAGGACCCCGAGGGTGTGGAAAGGACTTCCATGGGAGCTGGTTAGAGCCCCCTTGGTGAGGATGTTCAAGGATAGGCTGGACATGAACATGGTGAGCATGTCATGAGTGGAATCGGCTGGACCTGGGGTCAGACTAGATGACCCGGGAGACCCCTTCTGACTTGCTCAGTTTCTATGTTTCCATGGTTTCCTCTCAGGCATCATTCTGTGCTGTGTGTCCGCTTCCTCCTGCTTTTTCCTAAGCTAAACCGTCCTGGATGCTGTGGCCTTTCCTTGCTGGGCACTGGGCCAGCCCCTGGACCGTTTCCGTCGCCCTCTGCAGCACTGTGTTGGACTACAGCTCACAGCATCCCCTGGACAGCATGCTGGAAACTGCAGGACCGACGCAGCTGGAGGGAGCACGGTGTGTGGGCAGCAGGCTAGAGCGGCCTGCAGGGAGCGGCCCTTCCTTGGGAGAGCTTATTTCGTGTCTTTCTGTAGGTGGGCCATCTGGAGCGGTCCCAGTGCGGCTGCTTGTTCCTAGCACAGCGCAGCCCTTTTAAAAAGCCAGTATATAAATTTCTGCACACCTCCAGCAGTTGCGCAGCGGCTCGGAAACGGACCGAGAAATACAAACGTGCACGCAATTGCCATCACGACACTTCCTGAGGAAAAGGGGTCAGGAGCATGGCGTGTTCCTCTGGGAAATCGGCCCCTCCCCGCATTGTTCTGGGCTGCTTCCTCTGCAGCTGCAGGAGGTGGAAGGAGACCCTGCCGCCGCCCCCCACGGCCACTTCGCCACTCCGTGTGCGCTCGGGGGCTGAGGGAGGGCCGGCGGCCCCCTGGCCGCTTCACTTCTGCAAAGGGCGAGCTCTGTCAAAAGCAGAAAGTTCATGGGGCGGGCAGCTTTTTTTCTGTTGAAGATTGTGTGCCTGGAGGGGTAACTGGGGGGGGTGCTGGGAGGTGGGGGCAGAGGCAGAGCAGGCAGTCCCCCGTTTCTCTCTGTGTGCGCCTCAGCCACCCCCTTCTCTCTCTCCCTGCCTGCCTGCCTGCCTGCCTGCCTGCCACCCCGGACCGATCGCGTGCTCCTTCCGACCGTTCTCTCTCAGTGCAGACGGTGCGGCTCGGGGGCAGACGCACCCGGAGGCCTGCCGGAGCCCACGTCTGTTTCTCCTTCCTCATGCAGACGCTGCTGGCAGCCACCCTCTCAAGCCTCCACGGTGAAATATCCACCCTTGTGGCCGAAGGGGCGCAGATGGAAACTCGGAACGGGGTTCTTCTAGGTAAGGGGGTGCAACTGAGTGGCCGGAGTCTCCAGGGAGGGGCGGGAAACTTGCTAAGATGTAGCTGCTCTGGCCAAATCCTGACTGAAACTGGGGCCAGGAATAAATATGCCCGGGGGTGGGGGCGGCTCTCCCTGCCCAGCAGACACATCTCCTTCCGAAGAGGCCCCGCCCCTCGGAAGCCGCGCCCCGCCCATTCCCAGGGAGCAAGGGGGCTGCAGTGCCGTCTGCCTGCAGCAGGGGGCAGGATGGGAGCAGGGGAGAGGCTGTGGGGCTTTTGCAGGTGTCTGGTGGTGCTGCGCCAGGCGCTGGTCCTGCTAGCACAGCCTGTTCCACTTTCGCCGGGGATGCTTTTCGCCGGGACGCTATTTGGCAGGCGAGGGCTGGAAAAATTCAAGTACATCCTGGTAGAAACAGGATGCTTATATGTGTCTTCGCACTGTAGCTTCAGTTTGCACCTCTTTCTCAGAGAGCACGAGAATCCCAAGCCCGGCGCCTGTGGGCTGTTCCTTTGAGAGACTAGAACTCTCAGCTCACCTGGCTCCTGAGGAGCCACCTGTCTGCTAACACCTGCCTGTGCTTGGGCTAACACCAGCCGGCGCTGGTAAGGCGGCCAGGCTTGGCTTTCCAGCAGCTTTGCAATCACCCTCATTTGATGCTCAGCCACACAGCCAAAACTGGCAATAATCCCTCCTTCCTGACTGGCATGGCCATCTGCTATAACCAGCACTCTGCTCTTGTACTGAGTCCGGCCTGCAAATCTTTCACATTCTCCTGTGTTCTCCTTATTCCGTCACCACCTACCCCGCTGCTATGACATGTGACTCCAAATCTCTGCAGCACTCTGCACATGTTCTGGAAGCTGGTAGTCAGCTGTGAGGACTGCTACCTGGGAGCATGCGACCATGCGTTACTGCAGGGGCCTGGGTGACCTCAGCAATAAACCCCTGGGGTGGCTGGCGATTTGATCTTCGCTACGGGTCCAAGTGTTCATTCCCACCGTCGGTTCGGAGGCTCTGGCACAAGTCCCTGGGAAGCACAGTGCTTGCCCCACGACTCTTGGGAATCACCCTCCGGAAAACTGGATTTTTTCCAGGTGGAAGGGACACTGCCATGGAGGGAAGCAGCCAGCTGGGGTTTCTTCTCCGCAGGTCCCCGCAGGGATTTGGGGCCCCAGCAATACGCAGCCACCGACCCCCAGCACTGCCCCGAAAAGCATCCTGTGCCCTAACCACTCTTCCTTCCCCGTTCGCCTTTCGCCCTGACCTCGGTAGCCGAGGTGGCCCAGTGGCAGCAGAAGGTGGCTGTGCTCGAGGAGGGGCTGCGGGAAGCCACGGAAGCGCGGGGGGCCGCGGAGGCCGAGAAGGAGCACTGCGACGCGCGGCAGAACGTGCTCCAGGAGAGCTTGTGAGTGCAGCCGCCCCACGGGGGTGGTGAGGATGGGCCCGTCGGCGGGCTGGGGCGGATGGGAGTGGGCGTTCTGCCAGCTGCCCATCGGCTCCACCCTTCCCCACCAGCTCACTTGTCCTGCAGGCGTTTCCTCTGTCTGCCGCTTTCCGGAAGCATGTCTGGGGTGGGTCATGGGAAGGGGGCACAATTCAGCCGCAGTTCTGCGCCCCAGCGGGAGAGCTTTGGATGTCCCCAGTGCTGCTGGCTTTCCAGCACTGGCTAAGGACCAAGCCATTCATGCTGGTTTCTTTTGGCTAAACACACCTAGGACTGCCCTTAAAACGGGGGGGGGGGGTGGGGGGGGATGACTGCCTTGCAACTCCAGGCAGCTTTAGACTGGGCGGGCCCATCACAAATACCCAGGGGGGGTGCATCTTCAGCAGGAGAACCATCATCCCCGAGCATTGCTGACTCTCCCGGGCCAGGTGACAAGGCACCCGACTTGGTCCGGGACAGGCTGCAGCATGGTTGCAGCGCAATGGGGGGGGGAGCAGGGGAATGCCCCCCGCCTGACCGCCCTTCCTCGCCTCTTTCTCCAGGCACGGCTACCTGGCTGAGATCGCCTCCCTCCAGCGCCGGCTCCAGGCCCGCTCCTCCTCCTCCACCCGCCGCAGGTGCCCCCCCTTCTGGTACTTATTCTGGGGGCTGGAGAGCTTGTGCGTTCTTTACCCGCTAGTAAATTTTGGAGCAGAGAGAGTGACCCTTTGGGTGGTCCCTGCACAAGGGGGGCAGGCGCCCTGTAGCAGAGAGGGAACCCTTCCTCAAAACCTAGTGTGGGGGGGAGGCAGGTTTACGAAGCATCCGGACGTGTGTCCAGGAAGAAGTCCACTCACCCTAAAATGCAGAAGTGTCCTGCATAACACAAGGAACTGTGGACACACCATATTAATGTACTGATTTATTTAAAATATTGATATCCCGTCCTATACGCAAAGCATCTTAGGACAGCTTACAGAAACCAAAATGCACAATCCATAATCAAAACAACAATTGACAATAATTAAGAATATGCATAAAACCAGCAATAACATATCACCAATGAAAACAGAGTCAAAAACAAATCAAGATAAACAAAAATGCCAGCTTCCATATTTGCCCTCCCGCCCCCTGAGATCGGCGGCAGAGGCCCTCCTCCGGGAGCCCTGCGGGAGAGACATCAGGAGGCAAAGTACCCGGAGGAGGGCCTTCTCTGCGGTGGTGCCCCGACTGTGGAATGCGCTCCCCAGAGAGGTCCACCTGGCGCCGTCATTATTTGCTTTTCGGCGCCAGGCCAAGACCTTTTTATTCAAACAATATTTTAATAATTGTTAATGTTATTTATTGGTTTTAATTTTTATAACCAGGGGAATCCAGATTTTATATTGTATATGTATAATTGTTTATTATGTTAGAAGCCATCCTGAGGCTTATGCGACTGGGACGGCATCTAAAAACTCCAAATAAATAAATAAATAATACATCAGGTGGTCCAAAATAGAGTGGCCAGGCTGCTGATGGGGACTGGCCCTTACTCTTACATAACGCCAGTCCTCTACCAGCGCCACTGGCTCACAAGTCCAGGCCCAATTGAAGTCCAGGCCCAATTCAAGGTGCTGGTTTTGACCTATAAGCCCTGAACGGCTTGAGACCGGGATATCTGAAGGACGGCCTCCTTCCTTATATGGCCTCATGCCCCTTAAGATCTGCGGGAGAGGCCCTGCTCCGGGAACCCTCCCTGAAGGAGGTAAGATGGTCTCCACCCGGAGGGCTTTCTCTGTGGTGGCCCCCAGACTGTGGAATGCACTCCCCAGAGAGGGTCGCCTGGCGCCGTCATTATTTGCTTTTCGGCGCCAGGCCAAGACCTTTTTATTCAAACAATATTTTAATAATCATTAATGTTATTTATTGGTTTTATACTTTTATTGCCAGGATGAATCCAGATTTTAGATTTTATATATATGTGTGATTGACTGATTGATGGATTGATTGTATATTTTTCAATGTTGGAAGCCATTATATGCAACTGGGACAGCATATAAAAACGCTAAAGAAATAAATAAGAATAAAAACAAAATACGCCTATGGAGAATTAAAAACCAGATTAAAATTCCTAGTTCCACACGTGCTCAGAGAATAGCATAGTTTTTTTATTTTTGTGCCCTGTCTTTTTTCCCTGCAAGAAACCTGGAGCACCTCTCCCATCCCTGAGAGGTGAGGCTGCGAGCCGAATCAGTGTGGGGCACCCAACCCTACAGCTCCCAGGCCAGCCCGGCTCAGTGCTCCAACCACCTACAACAGCCTTCTCTTTGTTGCGTAACTTCGGAGAAGCGGCGCGTGAGTCATAGGACATGTTTCTATCTAAAAAGCCATCATATACTATCCTGACTCACATCAATAGCATTAACATTGCTGTGGAGTATTAGTGTGAAATGTAATTCAGAGCGCGAGGGATAACAAATAGCCATTTCTTAGCATTAAGGGAGTACATTGGGGGTATTTCTGAGAATGAGCTATTTGCAGACCTTTTAGATTAAGGGAGAGGATGTTCAAAAGCGGAAAAAACAACTGACGGAGGGGCAGTCCCCCCCATCCTCGACTCCCAGTGGGCTGCAGGTGCCCCCCCAGTCCTAAAGTTCTCCATCCTGTGGTCCTGTGCCCACTCACTGGAAATAAGCCCCACTGGTTTACCTTAGAGGAGACCCATATAGATCTATTTCCTCCTCTACTCCTACAAGGGTATAGGATACAATGGATGCATTAGTCTTTAAGGGGCCAAAAGAATCTTGGTTGCTTTCATGGCTTATCCTAACTTTGATGTGGGTTTTGTTGCTGTATCTGTGTGTCTGACCCATTTTCATTATGTTTCAGGAAAGGCTGAACCAGCTCCCTTGGGGCGAATTGCTAGTGCCTTTGAAGTGGTGGGAACCGATGGGGGGCTTCATCACACCTTTCCCCCCACCCTGAATAATGGACCTGCAGAGTGGTTATCTGTGCAAGGAAGAGCCAGCAAGAAGAGCTCAAAACACTCATGAAGACCAGAACCGGGAGAGCTGTATCCAAGGAACTGTAATTTCCCCGTTGAATTAAATTGCCAGGTTTCAGAGTCGGTGGGGCGTTTTTTTCCTTGCAGTTTTCAACTGTGCCAGTGGTGGAGAGCCTCTTTCCTCCTGACAGCCATTGCAGGAGCTTGTGGGGGGGGGGGGGTGCATGGGGGGGGGGGATTAGAAGTGTGGGGCTGGAGGCAAGGAGGAGCCTATTTCAGCTTAGCGCTCCTCTCTTGCAGATGCGCATCGGCTGTTCAGAGCTGGGGTCACAGGGCACAAACAACAGGGAACCCCTGGCCGATCGAGCTGGTCGGGGGGGGGGCAGGCCAGCTGGCTTTCCCTCCCCAGCTGTCAGATCTCACATCACCAGGGAGCTGCATCATGGCCTGGCCACGGGGAAGCGCTCCGAGAGTGCGGACTGCTGTGACCTACCCATTCCCTGGCCAAATCTGCCAAGTTCAGACTGGGGCGCCCGGCAGACATGTTGGCCGAAGAGTCCTTTCTAGGCGGGCACTGCCATGTACCTGTGGAGAGACGAGAGACCGCCCTGTGGTGTGAAAGGATCGATTCTTCCAACATCAGTTGCCCTGGTTCCCGTCTGATTTCTCCCCTGCAGTGGCAGTCCTCTAGGAGGATGCCCAAATGACCGCTAAAAATGGGGGCCTTTTTTTCTTCACCCTAATTTCCACCTTTCTAACCCACAACGTACACATACCTCAGCCCCCAATCCCTTAAGCGTTTGATCCAGCTTCCTACTTGTCTGAAACACTGGGCCCTCTGCAGTTCTGTAAAGTCCACCGGTTTTCTCCGAAAGGAGAAGCCTGCCTGTGGTCACCCTGTGCCCCTCGAGGTCTTGCTCTTTTCTTTTCATGAGGACCACCTGGCAACTTAGATAGGTTGCCATGATCTGCTGAATCTCCTGGTACGGACCGGGGGGCACCAAATTCCAGGCAGCCACCAGTGTCCCTGTGTTCACACAGGCCTTTCCGTGCACGTGTTTTGGGAAGTCACGTATGAGCGGCAGGGAACCAGGAGAGAAGCCACCATCCTGCACCGTCTGGAAAGGCTATCTGCTCCGCCACCACCCGATCCTCTGCAGGTGAACACGAGGGCCTTCCTGAGTCTCCGGCCGTTTCTGGCTTGCCCAGGGAACAAGAAACAGCAGCACTTTATCAGCCCGGCATGTCAGGCCTTCGACGCCTCATGCACCAGTCGGGTCCCCTGCCATTTCGCAGGGTCCGTTGCCTTCCCTGTGCCGCACACCACACGGCCCTGCGAGGTTTCCAGGAGCTCTGCAACCTGCTGCCTAGAGACTGGAGAGACTCTGACCGCCGCCCAGCCTGTCCGATGTTTTAGGGCTGCAGAGGGTTTCCCATCTGTTCAGTCCATTCCCGACTCTCCAGTCCTCCTTTTGCCAAAGATCCATCCAAGGGTCTTGCTTCCCCCCGCCCCCACCCCTCCATTCTTGCATTCAGCCCATGCCTGCTCTCCCTAAGTTCAGCTCAAAGAGCCATCGGATGATATGATCCCCACTGTTTTGGTACAGTAACCACGGCCTTATCTCCCGCAAAAATATTTGAGCTGGCCATTTGGCCAAATATTTCTCCCAAGCAAAGGCACTGAACCGTTTGGTGACAAGACAAATTCACGCCTCAAAGTGCTCTCTCCGACTTGGCTGGCTGGCTGCGTGCTGTTCCCTCCACCCCTTAATACACACCCTCTCTCCCCCCACCCCCAGTAAATGCGTGGTAGCCATAGCCTCGTAGGTTTTCCTTTCGCTCTCTTCTCCACAGGGCTTCTGAGCCCTTCAAGAGGAGATGTGCAGCATCGTTTGCACATCATTCCAAGCTGAGTGGTGAGTCGGAAGGGGCCCTCCCCTGCTCATCTAGTCTGACCCCCGGCTCCAGCAGACCCTGCTCATGTAATCCCCAACATGAGGCTGTCCAAACTCCGGATGGGCCTCAGCCACCTCCCTAGGAAACCCACCCCATTTTCTAGGGGTTCCTGACCCTCAGAGAGTACCCTCTGACTTCCAACCTGAAACCTAGTTCTTGGAGTCTTGTTCCATTAGAATGCATCCTGCCCTGCTGGCAGAAGTCCAATTAGTGCTTTGAAACAAGCTCACCACCTTCTCAGAACCCTTTGGAAAAACCAGGATTCTGATTCTTCCAATTAAACAAACCAGAGGTGGCAAACGGTTGTTAAACAAACACAAAATCGCCCCCAGGCGGAACCGCCACAGCGCGTCTTACAGCCTGCTCGCTCGACCCCGGTGCGGTCCATTCTCGCAGGAGAGGCGCCATGCCCCCTTCCTCTCCCCTTTGTTCTCCGAGCCCTGTCGACACAAGGCGCTTGATTTCCCCTCCAGCCCCCACAAGCGCCAGCTGCCTCTGGGTTTAGGGAAAAATCGGAATCGGGCCCCCAGCGCCAACTCTCCCCTTTTCCATCCCTGAGAAAGCCACATTTCCTCTGCCCCACAAAATCACATCCGACGGGTTCCAGTATCTGCCCCCGCCCGTGTTAGGGAGGACAAGCCAGCCATCTCTGCGCCCTTTTCCTCCTCCGCTTTCTCAGCGCTCACAGAAACTCACCGCCTGCAAGTCCAGCAACAAATCAGAATCAGCTCTGGCAACAACAACCCCCCCACCCCACCCCACCCCACCCCACCGTCCCATCTCCCCACATTCCTGAGACAAGGGGCAATCCTTCCCCACCCACACGCCTTCCGCCCCTTTGTTCGACTGCTCCAGAATCTGCCCCTTCGTCGGGGTCCCAGGAGGAGAAAGGGAGAATTGCCCTTTGCATTTGACAACCGGGGGAGGAAGGGGGTGCAAGAATAGCTCCCTGCCGCCCCTCGATGCGCCCCCGCAAGCTTGCCCTGAGGAGACTGCATGTGCCTTGTACACAGCCTCCCACTGGCCGGCCGGGGTTGCGTGGCGTCGCCCAGCCCGCCGCAGCCCTAGCCGCCTGCACCCAAAGGCGCCGCACAGTGCTCCTCCTGTTGGGGTCTCGGTGAGCCCATCCCCCCTCCGGTGCCGTCCGTGCCCCGTACCTTGGAACGGGAGTGCTTTTACTCTTCCAGCCGCGTCCGACTTCCCGTTGCCGGGGAAACCCAGCGCCGGTATCTTGCATCTCCTAAGGGGATCGGTCACTTGAGAAAATCTGGGTCCCAAAGCATGGCGGTGCCCCCCCCAGCACTGAGAGAGAGAGTCCACAGAGTTTTCTCAGGAAAAGTCCCATCTGGGGTGCCATTTCTGTGGCAGAAGTATCCGAGTGTTCCTTTTACCTCAGAGGAAAAAGATCCCCCGTCCCCTTTCATCCCAGGGGAGATGGTGACACACCAACGCCTCTGGAGTTAAGAGGTTTTTTATTGAAAAACCAGCTGCAGCAGGTGGAAGCGTGGCTGATGCCAAAGAGACGCCAACTACCCTAACCCTAAATGTCTTTACCCCCCGGGGGCGTTCGTCTAAGCGACCAATCAGCAAGCTCCGCACTCTGTCCTCCACTTCCAGGGTCTACCTGGCCACCACGGTGTTGCCTTCTGCTTTCTCAAACCTAACCTTTGCCGACACATCTGTACCTCCAGAGATAAAGCCATTTCGGGAGAGTTCTCGCTTCAGCTGTAAAGATGAAAGCGTTGTGGGAGTGGGCTTGTTTCAGGTCTCAAGAGCGTAACTAACTGAATACGCCTCCAAAGCTAAGATCAGGCTATGAATACTTCTGAGCTGCATTTTTCTTCACAGAGGGCTTCCAAGGCGACGGGGACGTGGCCGTGCCCCCCGCAAAGCCGTCAGATGCATCGTGACAGCCCTGTGGGCTTGTCTCCTGCTAATGCATTTTTCCAGGCGACTGCGTGTGTGGCGTCCGTTCTGGCTTTGTCCCAAGAGGGGCTCTCCCCGCAGGTTGCTCGCCATTTAGGTGATGCCAAAATGGTTTCCGGCAGTTCAAATTTGTGGAGGCCCCTGTGCAGAACTATTTTCAGCCTGAGGAGCAGATTCCGTCCAGGAGAGAATCTCAGGGGCTACATTCTGCTGGTGCTGGAGCAAAATGTATCAGCCTGTTTACCTGGAAGCCCTTCTCTGGGGAGAAAGCATTTCTTCCCATCAGGAAGGGGATAAAAGTGCTGCGAAGCCCAGGAAGCCACCAAGCAACTGAGGGCCAGGTGGAAGGGGCCAGGCAGGACGGGGACTCTGGGTGGCCAGGTGGGGGGGGGGGGCAGAAGGAAAGCTGTCAGCCTGCATTCCCCACGGAACTGGTGTTCCTACTGGGGGGATAGGCTTTACTTCGCGTGAACTGGGACCTCAGCAGGACACAGGAGTGGTGGGAAGATGCCTGAGGCACTGCATTTCCCTTCTAGATCGGGAGGGAGGAGACTCATCACGGAGCTATTTCCAGCTGTGGAAAGGAAACCGCAGCCTCTGGAGAGGGAATCCGGTTATTCAGCAGCAGTCCAGAAGCTGACCAGACGCCTCCACCCCTGTCTCCTTTTGGGCAACCAGGAAGGAGGCATCAAACTTATCTTGTGCACAAAGCCGTCGCTGAGAAGGCTAACACTTTGGGGGAAGCTCTGGGAGGGGGGAACACGTCTGTGTGATGTGGGGTTTGCCTGGGCTCTTCTCCCTCTCCTGGCATGTTAGAACAAGCATACAGAGCACCTGGCCCAAATTCAGCCCATCAGGACTCTTGGGTTGGCCACACCCCTTTCCCAAAACCATCACCCCTTTGGTGGCTTCTGCACTTTTCTGCAGTTTCCTTGCAAGAAACACTGATGCGTCTGTGCCCCTTAAGCAGGGCAGGATCATACCCTTCAACTGGGAGAGGTGAGGGCAGGTGGATTTCAGCTTGTGGGTTTCCCCGCATCCTACATAGGACACCTATTCCCACATCCTGTGGAAACACTGCCCTATGAGGAGAGACGGAGAGAACTGGGGTGTTCAGCCTTGAGAAGACTGAGGGGGGACATGAGATCCCTCTTAAGTCCCCCAAAGGCTGTCACAAAGAGGAAGGTCAAGGTCTCTTCTCACTGATAACAGAATGTAGGACACGGAATGATCAAGTCCAGCTGCAGCAAGCCAGATTCAGGCTCGATATCAGGAAAAGCTTCCTCACGGTCAGAGCAATAGGCCAGTGGGACCAGCTGCCTGGAGAAGTGGGGGCTCTCCCACACTGGAGGCATCCAGAAAGAGGCTGGACAGCCACCTGAGTGGGGTGGTGTGACTTGGTGTCCTGCAACAGCAGGGGTTGGACTAGATGGCCTTCAGAGCCCCTTCCAACTGCACTATTCTGTGATTCTAAGAAAGCCCTGTGAGGAGAGACTGAGAGAACTTGGCACTTGCCCTTCCTGTTCAGCCTTGAGAAGAGAAGACCGACAGGGGACATGATAACCCTCTATAAATCCTTCAAATACTATCACAAAGAGGAAGGCCAAGGTATCTTCTCACTGATAACAGAATGTATGACGTGGAATAATCAAGTCCAGCTGCAGCAAGCCAGACTCAAGCTAGATATCAGGAAAAGCTTCCTCATGGTCAGAGTGATAGGCCAGTGGGACCGGCTGCCTGGAGAGGTGGGGGCTCCCCCACACTGGAGGCATCCAGAAAGAGGCTGGGCAGCCGTCTGAGTGGGATGGTGTAGCTTGGTGTCCTGCACCAGCAGGGGGCTGGACCTGATGGCCTTCACGGCCCCTTCCAGCTCTACTATTCTAGGATTCCATGATCCTCATCCATGTGGTCACGGGGGGCACCGCCCTTCGGTTCACCTCTGCACCTGCTTAGTAAGAGAAGCGGGTCGTCCTCTGGAGCGGCCCAAGGCGGTTTGTGTTTCGGACTTGTGAGTCAGAGCGGCCCCTGGGGAGAGAGAGGCCCCGCTTGGCAGGCTGCTGCGGTTGGCGGAGGGGGACGAAAGCGCACGGAGAGCAGCGATGCAGTGATTACGGCGGAGTTCCCCTGACGGGGCTCTGTTGTGGTAACCCAGGGACCATCAGCTCTTCCGGAGAGCCAGGAAGGAGCCAGGAGCCGAGAGAGAGAGAGAGGAAATATTAATCAGGAGCAAGATAAACACGACAGGAGGCGCGTCCCGCCCAGCCGACCCAAAGGCGAAGCCGCCTGCCAGCCCCGGCACTTGCCGGCACGATGGAGAAGAACCCGTACAGCATGGCCAAGCTGAGCCTGGATACCAAGAGCGGCACCGGGCCCAAGCGCGACTGCTGCTTTTACGCCAAGTATTTCTTCTTATTCCTCTCCCTCATCCAGTTCCTCATCATCCTGGGGCTGGTGCTCTTCATGGTGTATGGCAAACCCGAGGAGGTCACCAAGAAGCGCCTGGAGGGGCTGTCGGACCAGGTGGAGCAGTGCCGCAAGAAGTCCGCCGACCTCGGCACGGAGATCGCTGCGCTGAAGCGCCAGCTCAACAGCAGCCGGGCAGAGAGTGCCAAGACCCACCTCGAGGCGACCCGGATCAACAACACCCTGAAGGCGTGCACTTTCGAGAAGGTCTGTTGCACACTGCCAGGTGGCACAGTGGTGGGGGGCGCTTGGGGAAGAAGTAGATCTGGGGACTGCTGTCCCTTTCCCTGGGATAATAATTGGGGTCCCCACCTCAAGAAACCTGTGAGGGCTCCTTTTGCTTCTTTTCTGTGTATAATATGAGGAACCCAAGAAAGCTTACAGAATTCTCCTTCCCCTTTGTAGTTTAGAATGAGAGTCAACCCAGGGAGTGGCCCAAGCTGATGCTCTAACCACTAGGAAATACTGCCTTTCCCTCGAAACCCCAGGTAGTCTCGGCAGATTCAGCAATGCTAACTGCCAGCTTGACGTCCTCATGCTCGGCCGGCCACAAGGGAACCCTCACTGTTTCTCAAATTTTCCCTCAGGCGAAGATGGCGGATCAGCAGAAGAATCAGGGGTACACCCAGAAAATGCTGCAGGAGTGTATCTTCAACTTCCAAATTTTGAATATGACCTGTCCAGGTAAGAACCACACCTTGCCCTTTGATTCAGCTTGCTCCTGCATTTTTGGGGTGGGGAGGAGATGCAGCCCCTCCAGATCAAGGCTTGGATGCAAAATCTGCCCTCTTCTCTGAGAGGGAGGGGTCTGCTTGATGAGGTCCCTCTCCCCAGTTTGGGGAGCTCCCCAGTCACCCCCCCCCCATGCCAGAGCTCACCCTATTTGGCAGGGTCTCCTGGGTGCTGTTTCAAAGCTCCACCCCAGCATCCCAAATGCTTCTTCCCCCCACAATGCAAGTCTGGAATTTTGGGAGGGCCTCGTGGGTGTTTGCACAAGATGGCTGTCAAGGAGTGGGCTGCCCAGTCATCCCACGGTCCCTGTGCCTGGCTGTGGTTGAACAGAATTCAGTCATTCCCTTAAAGGATACACTGATGGGAGAAAACGGCAATTCACAGTGCCGAGAACAGAAGCGCAAAGCCGAGGGAAGAGCAGTCTGGGAAGCGCAAGAGAGAAACATTCTTTGAGAGGCCATGAAAGGGTGCCAAGGGCAGCATTTCCTGCTACGGCAAGCCAGACCAACCCGGTTTTGATTTAGATTCCGATCCTGAAGGAATATATATATATATATATATATATATATATATAGTTGTTGTTATTAGTCGCGAAGTCATGCCCGACCCATCGCGACCCCATGGACAACCTTCCTCCAGGCCTTCCTGTCCTCCTCTATCCCCCGGAGCCCAGCTAAGCTCACGCCAACTGCCCCAGTGACCCCATCCAGCCACCTCATCCTCTGCCGTCCCCTTCTTCTTTTGCCCTCAGTTGTTCCCAGCATCAGGCTCTTCTCCAGGAAGCCCTTCCTTCTCATTAGGTGGCCAAAGCGTTTGAGCTTCATCTTCAGGATCTGGTCTTCAAAAGAGCAGTCAGGGTTGATCTCCTCCAGGACTGACCGTTTGATCGCCTTGCGGTCCAAGGGACTCACAGGAGTCTCCTCCAGCACCACAATCCAAAGGCCTCAATCCTTCGGCGCTCAGCCTTCCTTATGGTCCAGCTTTCACAGCCATACATTGCAACTGGGAAAACCATAGCCTTGATTATACGCACTTTTGTTGGCAGGCTGATGTCTCTGCTGTTTAGTATGCTGTCTAGATTTGCCATAGCTTTCCTCCCCAGGAGCAAGCGTCTTTTTATTTCTTGGCTGCAGTCCCCATCTGCGGTGGTCCTGGAGCCCAGGAAAATTAAATTTGTCACTCCCTCCATTTCTTCCCCATCTATTTGCCAGGAAGTGAGAGGACCGGATGCCATGATCTTAGTTTTCCTAATGTTGAGTTTCAAGCCAACTTTTGCACTCTCCTCCTTCACCCGCATCAAGAGGCTCTTCAGTTCCTCTTCACTTTCTGCCATGAGAGTGGTATTATCTGCATGACAGAGGTTGTGGATATTTCTGGACAAATTTAAAAATGTGAGATTCTGAAACGTGCAGCAGCAAAGAAAGCAGCGTTGGTTTATCTGCCCATCTTGGCTTGGCAGGACGGCCAACCCGGCCAGAGTCCTGGGTTCAAGTCCGCACTCATTTGCAAAGCTCCCCAGGCAACTCTGGCCCAGTCTCTGACTCTCTGCCTGGCCTACCTAACCCTGCAGGGTGTTGTGAGAGGGGGATGCGAGCGGGCCACCAGGCATGCTCTTGGGCCAAAGGTGGAGCAGCTCTCAGGGGAGCCTGCAGACCCAGAGGTGAGGAGGAGGGGCGAGCCCCCCAAATCCCATCCCCTTTGCAGCTGAGCCTTGCAATGGGGGGGAGCAAGACACAACAGTGCAGAAGCCCCCCAGCCACCCATGGTTGGGGGAAGGGGGCCCAGGCAGTGGGTGAGCCCCAGAGGGCCAGAATAGGAGCCCCTGTGGGTAACGTGCCCCCCCAGGTCGGAGGCCATAAACACATGTCCTGAACGAGCAGGAGAGCGAGAAACGGATGGTGGCAGGGCCCGCGTTGGCCTGGCCCCGCATACAGTGCCCGCAGCAGCCCCAAGGAAAACCCACACGCTCCGGGCCACGATGGGGGGGGTGCGTGGCGCCCGCTCCTCCTGGCCTCACTCACCCCCCCCCCCCCGTCACCACAGTCCAGCTGAGCAGCCTGCAGGACCAGCTGAAGATGGAGTCGCACATCCTGCAGGAGAGCAAGGAGACGCACACCCGGCAGGCCCAGGCCCTTCAGGAGCGTCTCCAGATGGCCGAGAAGGAGCGGCAGGACTGCCAGGTGGAAAAGATGCACCTGCAGAAGCAGGGTGACACCTACCGCCTCCTGGAGTCCCGTGTGCTGGACGCCATGAGTCCCGTGCGCGAAGCCCTGCGGGGCGCCGTGGACCGGACCTTCCTCTCCCCGCCGCACTCGTGCTACGATTTCAGCACCATCCACCAGGCGTGCCTCACCCTGGGGCCCTCGCTCCAGAGCCAGGTGGAGGGGCTGGCGCGGCAGGTGGACCAGAAGGTGGCCGAGGTGGCCCAGCGCACGGCAGACCTGGAGCGCGACAAGGCCTCCTGCGGCCACGGCCTCCAGGAGCTGCAGCGCCAGATCTCTGCAGAGCAGGAGCGCTGCAAGCGGGACAAGCAGCTCCTGCAGGAGGCGCAGGACGGCGAGACCAAGAAGATGTACGGCGAGCGGCAGAAGCTCGTGGGCGAGAAGGAGATGCTGAAGATGCAGCTGGAGCAGAGCAAGGAGGCCTGTCTCCGGACGAGGGTAAGCGCCCGGGCCCCGACGGGGAAGGAGCCCGTCTTCGCCCACCGGGTGCCCCTCTGACATGCGGACCAGCCCCACATCACCCCCAGCTGTGCCCAGCGGGGCTGCAGTCCCCACATCATCGGGAGGGTGCTGCAGGCAGAGCGATGGCACAATGGGGAGGCCCTTCCCTGCCCCTCATCCCAGAAGCTGCGCCGGGCGGTGCCGCCTGCTGAACGGCAGGGCAAGCTGTGGGCCCAGCCAGGACAGGGGCTGCTTCTCCCCCGGGGCTCGGGGCTCCTCTGCCCCACCACTGGGAGGCAGCCTCATCCTCTGAGGGTCGCGATGCTGCAGGAGCGGACCCCAAGAGAGAGAAGCTGGTCCGGGGGCAGGTTCTGGTGCCCGGCGATTCTCCGGGGGCCCTTTTCTCGGCCCCCGCCTCATCGCTGCGGATCCCGCCCTGAGCACGAAGCTCGCCAGGTGCGTCCCAACGGCATGTCCGCCACTTGCTTTCCAGATCAACACGTCGCCTCCCATCCACACGGGCCTGCGGATCCCCGGAGCTTCTGCCGGCCTCAACCCCTTCGCCCTGAACCTTCCCCTGAACACTGGGGGGGCGGCAAACCCCATCGGCCCGGTTGCAGCCCCCAATACCTACAGCAACCCTTTGGGAAGACCCCAGGGCCTGCCGGGCCCCCACACCCTAAGCACCGCAGGTGAGTAATGTGCGCCAGCGAACCAGGAGCAAACATTTCTCTTACCATGCAAAAAAGCAAAGCGTATTAAAGTGCTTGGCAGGAATCAGCTGCCAAAGAGCAAAGTGAATGGGGATTCTCTGGAGTCAGTTCACGGATGCAACAGGACCAGACACAGTGCTGGACCAGGGTCCCCCCCCCCCGCCCCCCATGCCAGGGTTCCGCAGCCTCTGCTGGTTTTGCTGCAGCCACCGCTGGGAAGGCGAAGGGCGCTTTTCCGCTCCCAGTGCTTGCCTGGTGCCCCCAGGCCCTGTCAACTCACCCCTCCACACCCTTCAGAAATGCTCGGGCTTCCTGGTCCCCCACCATCCTCTCCCCGCCTGTGCTGGGCCCTTCATGCCCCACGCCCCCTCCTCTCCATCTGAACCCAAACCCTTCCCGTGCCCTTTCAAGTCTGCAGTCATGGCCCCCGTCTGCACTCACCCCCATGCCACCCGGAGCAGGGCCCCCTTGCAGGTCTTCACGCATTTCGTGGCTGGCTCCGGAAGGGGAAACAAAGGCCTGAGGTGCCCCTGGGCCAGCTCGACTGCCACGAACCTGGAAATTTGCACTCCCGCTGCCCCCACGGACCACGGAGAGAGGATGGGTGTGCATAGACCTGCGTCTTGCCCCTGCAGAACGGATGCGGATACAGGAGCTGCTGAAGGAGAACGCGAAGAAGCAGAACCAGACCATGGCTGTGAAACCGGAGGCACGGCCCAGGTAGGGGACAGGGGGGCTGCAAAAACAGCCGGTCTGGGGGCAGGATGGGAGTTTCCCATACTCCAGTGGGGCAGGGTGATAGAATACGGGGATGCAGGAATGTTATTCCTCCGAGTAGACAGGTGCAGTTCAGCCCTGCACCATCTAGATTCGGCCTTCCTCCTCCTCAGAGATAAACCTTTTAAAAACCTGCCTGGGAGACAGTTCTGAGGTGAATCCAAAACTCAGCCTGAGAATAACCCAGTCCAAAATGCATGGTGCGAGGCCAGAAGACATGTGCCCTGTTTCAAGGGCAGAAAATCTCTCGCTCTCCCGTGCTGTCTCGCAGTGTGTGCGTGTGTGCGTGTGCGTGTGGCCCTGCATCCTATTTCGGATATTCTCCTGTTCTGCCTGACCCTGAAAAATGGCTGTCCTCTGAAGTAGGAAAGACAAAGCCCAGAGAAATTAGTCTCAGAATCAAAATGTGTTCACATGGCCCCAGAACTCTGCTTGAACCCCACTCCCCAAGGACCCAACTCGGTTTCCATGAGCCTCAGACAATCTCCTAAAGTCTCTTCCCCAAGGACCCAACTCTTTATCCCAGGTGAAAGCATGGAGTACCTGTGCCAAGGAAGAAAATCTGTTTGCCAGGACCCCAGAACACCCCCCAAATTCTCTTCCCCAAGAGCCCAACTCTGTTTCCCAGGGCCCCAGACCACCGACTGCACTCTACTCCCCATGGACCCACCTCTGATTCCCAGGACCAAATAAAACCCCCTGCAGTCTCTTCCCCAAGAGCAAGTTCTGTTTCCCTGCCCCCCCCCCCTACATCCTCCTGGCGTCTCCTAGCACAGGACCCAGCCTTGTCCCTCAGGGCCCCAGACCACCTCCTGCAGTCTCTTCCACAGGGTCCATATTCTGCTCCCCAGGGGCCCAGATCAAAGCCTGGAGTATCTGCCCCAAGGAACAAAATGCATTCGCCAGGACCACAGGCAACACCCTAAATTCTTTTCCACAGGGACCAGACTCTGTTTCCCTCAGCCCCAGATCTCCCCCTGGAATCTCTTCCGCAAGGACACAACTCTGTTTCCCCGGTACCCAAACCACCTCCTGGAGTCTTTCCCCCAAGGTCCATGTTCTGTTCCCCAGGGATCCAGATCACAGCCTGGAGTTTCTGTACAAGGAAACCAAATGTGCTCCCAGGGCCCCAGAAAAAACTCCACCAGTCTATTTCCCAACGTCCCAACTCTGTTTCCCAGGGCCCAATACCACCTCCTGGAGTCTCTTCCCAAAGACCCAACTCTGGTTCCCAGGCCCCAGATAACCTCATGGAGTCTCGTCCCCAAGGTCCAAAGTCTGTTCCCCAGGACCCCAAACCAGGGACGTAACTCTGTTTCTCAGGGTCGCAGGCCACCGCCTGAAGTCCACTCCACAACGACCCCACACTGTTGCTCAGGGCCCCATACAACCTCCTGGAGTCTCTTCCCCGAGGACCCGATTCTCTTTCCCTGGTCCCCGTACAACCTCCTGGAGTCTCTTCCCCGATTCTCTTTCCCTGGTCCCCA